AAAAAAAAAGGTATCAAGCTCTTAAAAAATCACCCGTTAGTTCGCGATAAATCTCTTTTACATGCAAAAAAGTAACAAGATATTTTCAAACAGTCTTTCTGGTTTTACCATGGTAGCGATTTTTAATTATTTACAAAGAAATGTGTTTTCAAGCTAAACTCAAATTTGTTTGAATGAATTGTAAATGAAATTGGGCAATTGAACATACATTTACATACCTTTGATTGTAGCTGAATTTGCAGAGGTTCTGGCTGTTATTGGTTAGATTCCCAAAATGTTAAAACGTTAACACAAATTTTAGTTTTGTATTACCAATCTATGAAAAAGCATCTGCGAAGTGAAAGCGTATTTAAACGAAAAACCCGCCAAGCAAAAATCTATTTAAAGTAAGCAAACCCCCCGCTGCATCCCTATTTCGGTAGTTCCGAACTAGTTCAAAATTCGCCAGATAAAATCTAGTTCGTTCTGCATCCCGTTTTCTATAGTTTCAACCGGTTCTAAATTCGTCAAATTAGATGTAGATATCTAAAAATAAAAATGTTTTTTAGAAGTACCACATCTCGCTGCTTTTGAACTGGTGGCGATCTAGTTACTATCGGACTGGTTCGTTTTTGGCGATAAAGATCTAGTACGGAACTACAAATTTTGTTCACCAGTTCGGAGTTTCCCTATAGGGTTTGCATGTTCATACTTATGTATGTACATATGCACATTAAGGTAGGCTGAAAATCACATTCTATAAAAAGTCGATTGCATTAATATTCAAATGCCTCCATATCTGAAGAATAAATTAAGTCGAAGTATTTTTTCATACTTTTTCAAATTTTTTTCTAACTATACACAAACTTGCCAAAAATGCGGCACACCGCCAACAGTCATGGGTTTGACAGCATTTTTAGCGATTTGCGCTCTTTCACTTTGTAGTACTCCTTGCAATTTTTATTTCTGAAAGTGGTTTCTGTGACTTTGCGCAAAAATGGCTTTTTTGGTGTTTACAAGAGAAAGTACACTTTCGCTTTCGCAGCGAAATGCATACAAAAAGCGGCTGCATTGCTATGTTTAACCGCACTTCATCGTATGCACACATACATATGTATATGTATGTAAGCATGTATGAATTAGGGACGTTCCGATACCATCAAAGTATCGATACCTACTCAAATGAGTTTACTCAAATTGCTATTTCGATACTACTTATATGAGTCAAGCGAAAGTATCGATACCTACTTATATCGATAATTTTTCATCCTTTTAAATTCAACAAAGCGAAAGTAATTTGCAGGCGTTTTCTGTGACAAAGCTTTGCTGCACCTGAGTGGAAGATCGAGCTATCTCGGAAGAAAGTTCGAAAACGACCTATCTCAGAAAACTTTTCAAAAGCGCCCTATCTCAGAAAACTTTTCAAGGACACCCTATTTCAGAATTCGGTTCAAAAACGCCCTATCTCAAATATTTTCAATACATTTGCAGTTGAGGTATCGATATATATATTTCTTCTTTAGTAGCACTTAAAGTAATACGATTATGTACTTAGACAAAAAATTCAACCTTTGAAAGGATCCCACAAAACTTTACGGCTATAAAGATTGCTTACACTTTGTTGTGGTATCACTAACTTTGTAAAAATATATCCACACCTTAGAATTTGGCGGTGTAATTGCTTAAAATATTTTTTTTATGAAAACGAAGCAACTATTTTCCATAGAAAAAAATATTATCGACAGGATATGGCACTTTCTCAAATCGATTCGATACAAGTACTTTTCCTTCGATACCAAGTAGGTATCGTAACAACGATTCGAGTAAAAAAAGTAGTTGGTATCGAAACAAAAGTATCGAGTACATACTCGTATTTACTTGTATCGGAACATCCCTAGTATGAATGTATGTATATGAGTTACATACATACTATGTGCATATGTACATCTCAACAAATCCTTACGTATGTATATAGAGCATGTTTCATGTTACTGTATGAAAATTCTTGCATTTTTGAGGAAAATTAAACTTTAATTATATTACTGAAAAATCTAAAGAAATTTTCCATCATCCATCAATTAGCATTTGTTTGCATTATTTTATTTTATTTTTGCATCTAAACATTCGGTTTGAACTTTAAAGGAATTATGTATACATTGCATCTGCTCGATCGTTATGTAAATTTAATTGCGTGTTAATTTTGGTGTTATTGCGAATACATGTCTGTTAGAACATGAGTTGCATTCGCAATCTGAGATGAGCTTGCAATTGCTGCGCAACAAGATGTAAATATTTTCGTTTACAATCCTATACGCAAGCGCTGACTGGCAACTTTCGAAGCCTACCAATTTCAATTAAGTTATGCAAATATTTATTTATTTTGCCCATATAAGTATGTACGTATTGGTATTTTGTTCGTTCAGAACTCAAAGGGAAGTCTTCTAAACAGGGAGCAAATTTCTGCATTCTCTGCAATTCCGCGGCAAAATTTGAATAAACACAGTTTTCGCTTCATTTTTTTCAATCTTCTATACCCGAGTCGAAGGATCCATACGCATGATAGCAAATGTGGTTGATTATGTCGACGCCAGTGGCGAATCGAAGGCGGCCTGTATAAAGCTCGTGCAGAACGCCACCTCATCTTCTTCGGTACTCGTCACGCGCGCCATTTTACTCATTGTCATTTACTCAAACCCATGACACAAAAGGGTGGTCAAAATTACGTACAGTTGTGAAGCTGGTTGTTGTTGTGGTTGCGACAGCATAGTTTTTGGGGAGTGTTCCTGCAGTGACAGTCCTTGGCCAGATATAATTCTGGGTGATTCCGGTTACGTAGACCCGACAGTCGTGAAGCTGATGTGATGCCTATTGCTCAAAACAGCCTCCCCTTAAAATTCACACCTTGTTATAGCAAGCTTAGAATGAAAAATTTGAAAAAATACATGCTATACATTCATATGTACATTAGGGTGCTCGAAAAATACGTCGAAAAGTCAGATTTTCTCGAATTTTCCGTAGAATCGCTATAGAATCGTTAAAAATACATAAATATTTTTTGATCGAATAAAAATATTTCTTTTCAGAAATCTGCAAAAATTAAAATTGTGAGGGATATTTAACTTTAAAAATTAACCAACTACTTTTTTTTTAACATGCCTGATGTATTTACTATTACATAAAATAACAATTTTTTTATATAAAAGAAATTTGATTATCGGTCATGAAAAAGTAGTTACCAAAATATTTTCAGTTTAATATACAGGGAAATAATCGACCAAAAAATATTTGTTTTTAACGATGTAAAATATATGTAAAACTTCAAAGCCCCGACGGCACTGTTTAATATTAATCGATTTCAAAATACAAAAATACAGTTCTCGTTATTTTCGATATTCTTTAATTCTGGGGATAGCTGAAAATTAAAAATGTTAATCTAACCTTATGTGCAGATGTAGATATATACAAATCTTTTAGTTCAACTAATAATTTGACATATGTATGTACTTGCAGGTGTACGCCAGCTTATTTAAGCCACTCCGCGTGACGAGGCATCAATTCAAAAAGATATTGAATTGTATGAAACTAATACGATCGTTGAAGTACCAGGAGGTGTATGCACAGGAGAAAGTTACCAAAGTTGATAGCTTATCACTCGTACTGTCTGGGAAGTAAGTAAAAATGGTTTACATAAATACATAAGTATGTATGTATGTACAATAGGGTGGTCCTTAAATGTAGGAATCAATTTTTTACATAAGATTTCCTAAGCCTCAACCCCTACTTCGATGCTACTATTGTCGAAGATATCACATATAAATTTTAGTCCCGATTGGAGACGGTTAAGGCGTGTCGCACAGGGGGCAAAGTTCAGATTACCCTATGAAGACGTCTTAACCGACTCCAATCGAGACAAAAATTTATTTGTGATATACTCGACATTATTAGTATCGATTTTGGGGATCAAATGAAAAAAAAATATTTAAAATTTTTTGAGTCCATAGAGGCATCTCGCCTTTGATTCTTTTGCGACACGCCTTAACCGTCTCCAATCGGGACCAAAATTTATATGTAATATCTGTGACCATAGTATTACCGATTGAGGGGGTGAGATAGAAAAAATTAATTTTTAAGAACCACCCTTATGTACATACAAGTCCCAGATTGGACACAGATGTATGTAGTTTTCACTCATTTACCGAACAAACATTTAGTTTAGAGAACTATTAGAAAACAATTTGCATTCGAATAGGTTTCTCTAAGTTAGAAGGTTAAAAGACGATTACAGAAACTGTGGAGAATTATAGCAAGCTCTATAAAAAGGGATCTTGCATAGTTCCCGATATCGAGAAAAAGTTTAAATATCTAATCGCCTTCTAACCTTGAATTCTAATTGGTTTCTAATATTTTATGTTTTTCTAATCATTCTCTAATCGAATTCTAACATAGTTATTTAACCTGATTTGCGATTCGAGAAACATTAAAAAAACCACGTTAGAATTCTTATGTAACGGGTGATTTTTTAAGAGCTTGATAACTTTTTTTTTAAAA